AGCCAATACATCCTTAAGCTGCACGTTCGCTCGTTCCATCGTCGTTTATTTCGGGCTTTTTCAATTAAAATCGTTTGTACCAGATGTTAGTCAAGATGATTGGGTACGATTGTCTTACCTGGAGATATGGGACAGCTTTGCACAGCGTTAAGCCCAGGAACCACGTTTCCGTGATGTCCCACAAAACGGTAAACGGGAGGCAGAGCAACAGGACCAGGAAATCGGCAACCGCAAGGTTTACGATGAAGTAATTCGTCACCGTCCTCATCGAATGGTTCCGATAAACCGCCACGCAAACTAACGCGTTCCCGATTAGCCCGACCGCGAATATGATACTGTGGGACGCGATCAGCACCCAGTCCCAGAACTTGGGAAATATATAATTCATCATGCGGTTTATGTACTCCTCGTCCGAGTCGCAGTAGATGTTGCTGCAATTAGTGGAGTTCAAGTCCATTTCGTCGACGTAGTCCTCCAAGTAGTCGGAGGTTTCGGCCAACGCCGATATCATTGAAGCGAGCCAAACAACGATCACCGGTTCGAGAGGATGCATCTTCCCGTTTATTTTCTTCCTGAATCGATGCCGAGAGCGATCCTTCCGGGAAACGTTCCTCTTCACGAACCAACGCAGCTTCCTGTTTCCATCCTGCTCGTTTTTTTTCCTCGAGGAAGTCTTTTCAATGCAGGGTTCCTCGTCTTCTCCGATTGCGATTAAAATTTCCAATCGATGTTACGGTCAATTCGTTTTTTCCCTTCGCTTCTCCATCATCTGATGACGCTTCTATAGAGGTCAGGCTTTCCTTTGTCCGATTAGTATCGGATTCTGCCGAATTAATTGACTCTCGAGATTGTGGAATGCGATTACCATTCGTTTCTACGCTCCTCTCGTCCGTCAGTGAATTAGACAAGTACACGTCGAAAACGGAAATAGAACTTTTGGTTTTATCCTTCCGATTTCTCGAATATCTCCCAGCTTGGCCAATGAGCTTCTGATAAATGACTCGGATAAAAAATGATTTGCAAGCTCTCTTGCCCGTTCTTCTCTATCGGATGCCCGCCGCGGGTAGATAAATCTGTCGTCGAGTCGATACCCGCCGTAGGATGTCTTCTTTTCTCCGGGGGAAGAAATCAACGTCCGTGGGGATTGTAAAGCCGGAAGTAACTCGATGGGACACGTTTTACCTCGTTCCAACAAAAGTTTCATTTCGCGGTACGATTTTACTTTCGTCCGAACTCCCCGGCAACGGTTCGCGAGCCAATTTAATTGCACGGACGCAATAAAACGGTCGGGAAACGGTAAAAGGAATTTAGTCGCGTAAGTTAATATTAGATGCCGATGACGAAGTGGTCCGGGTTTACTCTCGAACAATACGTCCGCCCTCGTTTTCGACGGTCAGTTCGCGGCGGGTCACATCTTAATCCTCCTATCGTCACGACCACTCGCATATGCCGGGTTTTTATCTCAGTTAAAAAAAAAAAGTATTGCAATAACCGGTATTTATAAATATTACCTGCGCGTATTAAATTTACGTAACGATAATCTACATGTAATGTTATTAACATTTATATAATGAATAATACTGTACGCGTTGAAGTATCAATTAAGGTCGATTAAATATGGACGAACAGTACGTTTCTCAACAGTTTTACGGAGTATTTATTGAATAATTGATCGTACGGTCATCCTGCCAAGCGTTCACGTTAAATTCGACACGTTTTCAATAAAAATTCGTCGATGGCAACCTTCAATCTTTCCACCAGGGGAATGACGCGCTATGAAAGGAAAAACCGCTCGATTATCCTATTAATCTTGCGCTTTTTTTTCAAACGACCGAGTCGCCAGTGACAACCGGCGTGACGATTAATCAGAAAGGTGTCAGAAACGCTTGCCCGTGTATCCTCTGTTACGCGGTTCGCGATTCCGTCCCTTCTCCCTCTGAATAAGTCGGCTTTCTTTCGATCCCCTACGAATATTTTCCTGGGACATTAAACGTCACGGGTAGATGACCGATGCTCGAAACGTCTCAAAGAGATCGATCTCGGATGCGAAGATGTTTCATAAATTCGATCCGAATGTTCAAATTTAATCTGGCGGTGTGAGAAAAATTCAGTATACTTTTCCTCCGCAATTTTCGCTCACGCGACGAGAAGGAAAATTTCTAGGAAAACTTGTTGGACTTCTCAAACGGTACTTAAGTTGGTATGAGAAGAAATTCGAACTTTTCTTCTCATTGTTCGCAGGTGTCAAAGGCGTCGAGCGTGCAACGAAGCCGGGAAAGAACCAGCAACTTTCTCAACGATTTTCTTCGCACTCCGGTGAGTAGCCCTTAAACATGCTTGTATAATTCACGATCACTTCTCTTTCGTTACTCGTCGTTAATAACAATCGTACGACGGTTCGTACTTTATCCGCGGCATTGTTTCGAGTTTATACGCCTACGTTTACTGAACTGTCGCGACTCGGTCAGACCATGAGAATTTATGGTCAAATGGAAATTGCCGACGAACATTGTACATATTCAGAGCGAGACCAGTTTCGCACACGTTTGGAAGTACGATTCGATAACGGTGTTAGTTTCGCGGGTGAACACGAGTTCGCCGATCGAGCATGTTCGAACGTCGCGAAGGGTCCCGCGAAGGGATGTGAACGCGGCGACGGACTCGGCGAAACTGAGGTATGTCACGTCGTTTTAACGGGAGCGTAGGTGTAGCCGTTGCCGGCCGATGCTACGTTTCGGCGAAAACTTCTGCACGACTCTGATCCCGTTTCCTCGACGAGTCAACGAAACTCGTTATTAAGAAACGTAATTAAAAGACTGCGGCCGTTCGGCTGCAAGATCGCTCAGCTATATCTTAAGTAGAGTTAAACGAACTTCAAGATTGCTCGAGAATGACAAGCGTTACGATAAGTCCGGCACCGTTTAGAGCTTTTCCGTTCGCGTACACGCGCGTGTCTACAGTCGTCGATAAGTTCCGCCGACAGAATTCAATTCCAATCCGTTTTTACGAGCGGCCGCTTTACGATTTCAATCGCTCCTCGAAAAGATTCTATCCTATACTTCACGCAGGAGCGTAAATCTTGTCGAACGGAATCAGACATTTTCATCGAATGGCAAATACCTGGGATTGATACACATTTATGTATTTTATATTTTTATGTGTATGACAATGTTCCTCCAGCAGATTCGAACGGTACTTTGTGCGACGGTCTCGTTAAGTATGTATGAGCCGTAAGACCTCTGCTAAGAGTTTAACACGGATAATAAAAAGCTGTGTCTAATATTTGAAGCAATGAATTTCTAGAAAAGATAATTGAAGAGGAGTAAGGTTTATAAAATTGTTTCACTTGTTTTCCTCGGTCATAAGGAATTTTTAATGCATAGTTTTGGCATTTTTTATTGGACTGCACGTGAAATGCTTCGTGATTGTTTTTATGTAAAGACTCGTACAATCTTAAGTAGAAGAATCAGATGTTCCCATCGAATTGGAAATATTGTACCTGAATGGATACACACGTTCGCGCGATATCTGTTTTATGTATGTTCCGATCGATCGAAGATTCTAAGCTGGTTGCCGACGTATCTGCCGACGTAGAAATCCTTCGAAAATAAAAGATCCCGGGGAGGGTATTAAATTCCGGAAGAGAATTCCTCTCGACGGTCTCGGTTGGAAATTTAGTGGCAGACTTTAACTCGCGCATGGACGTTCGTCAGTTGGTCAGTTGGCTCGTTTGATCACGCACTTCGTTCATCAATTTCGCGGCCTGTAAACCATTTCGAGTTGGCTTCCCCCCGTTCCTCACCGTTGCATTTATCTTGTCACAGACGGATGATAAAAAATTCTACGATTTATATCTCACCATAGATCGTAGGCGTATGCACTTTCCCAATGCTTTTCCCTCCGGTCGCTATTAATGTCCGTCTATATACATATAAAAGGTTTCTCGAAATGTCTTTTTTTACGGTTCCAATGAGTCATTAATTTCGCGTCGAACCTTTACAGCGTTCGTGGATTATTTCATGAAAACCGATATTCATGAGAGAGGTCTGCTGTTTGCCGTAGCTGTTTTGCGGTCTTTTCAGGTGACGCAACACCGGTGGTGCTTTCTTACCGTTCTCTTGCAATTCAAACGAGGAATGCAAAACCGTCTTCCTTTATTCTTGAATGAAAAGCATTCAACGGACGCGCGTAGACGTATCTGCCGAGAGATCTTATTCACTGGGAACTAACGCCCCTTCGTGATTACACGTTTAAGGGTGAAATAAATACGACCCTACCGCGGCTATGATCTATCTAGATCATTCTCCTACGCTTATGTGCGCTATGATTAATGGGATCAAAGTAAACTCCCTGGTATTTGCTCACTTTGTATAAATACAAGCTACCGTTCGTGCACGACAAAATGATACTAGCTTAGACTGGTTCGGTATTTTTCTTCGATTCGTTCCGTGTTTTCGAACGCGTTTAGAAAAGCGTTTACATCGTTGGCTTTCGAAAGAATAATATGGAATATGAAAACAAACGGACGACCGAAACCTGGTTATTTTCTGTACTAAGGATACTTTTATTTTCACACAATTCGTAGATCGTTCGCGACAGAGATATATTTTTTTTTCGTTAGATCGATTGTCGAGGTTTATTTTGATAACACGTCGCGTTTATGGTACTGCACATGTCTGCTAAACACGGAAGTAGGTCAGGAAGCGTTTAGAGCGATTGTCTCATCAAAAGACTGAAGTTCTTTTTATGAGAGTTTTAAGGAATGCCGAGTTTACAAGGTCTCAACAATTTTCATAACGTCCCATTGTAGCTACCAGTTTCATCTCGCGAGCTTAATGACAGGACAATAGAATTTTCTTGAAGTCAACTTTGTGAATGGGATGGTAAAATAATTTTTAGCAGGTCGATATCGTACAAAAATTAATGATCTTTATTTTCTAACAACTCTCATTGTTCATAGACTGCGGATGTTTACAGATTCATGGGAATTTTCAATCATTCAAAGAAACACAAAATATCCAATGTGGAAAAACAATTTATAATATTCACAGGAGAAAACGTATGTTCGTATGCTTTTAGTTTTCTGTAATTTTATTTATAAAAATAGGAATTCGCATAGACGTCCGCAGTCCGCTCATTATATTTACATAATAAAAGAAGAATCTAGTTATCACAGTTGTAACAGTGCTGTAACTGCTATAACTACGTTTCTCTCATATTTCACAGAAATATCTAAATCACGATACAGTATGTACATCGATATGAACTAAAAAAATATCGTGAAGGAGACGCGAATAAACTTCTTCGATTCGGAAAAGACATGTGTCGATATTAAATTATATTATGCATGCCGCATACTATCTGATATATAACTCTTTCGATATTCGTGATTTATATTTTATCTTTGCATTGTACCTAAACGTCCTCGTCAATGCAATCAGGCACTTGATTAGCATTATAATCACACTTTGAGAGTACATTTATAAACGACAATATCCACATAATCCTCAATTGTCTCGCATTATCTCGAATGGAATTAAAACGAAAATAATGTAATCTTTACGATATAAAGATCGGTGATCACGATTCTTATCCGACCACACGGATCTCGGAAAATATCTCTGTTATTAATTAATAAATCCCGTGATTAAAAGTATAATTGATCATCCACTGGTATCAGCGATATCAACGTTGTCGTTCTTCGATAACAGATTTTGTCTCTCCTCTTCCTTCAGATTATTTCGAACGATCAAGAAAAGAGTGATGGAAAGGATAAGAATGCCAATTGCAGCGATCCCGTAACAAGTAATACTACCGAAAGACTGCAAAATCAAAATGAATTTGATCGTGCTAGCATAATCGTCGGTTAAGTAAGCCTCTTGCGTGAACCATAACATCGGCACGTACGTAGACGTGATATTCCGAAACATTCTGAAAATAAAATCGTATAAATTTGTTTCTATTTAAAAGTAATTTGTCAAAGACAAGGACTCACTTCATCTTATCATCACTTTGTATCAGTAGATTCAATTGTAGTTGCGCTTTCACGTTCAGTGGGACGCCAGTTTTCTATAAGAGATTTACGGTTCAGAGATCTATCATTGCTGGATCCATTAAATAGTAATTACCGGTTCTATAGCTATCCGAATTTCGTGCTTCTCTTTGTCCGGTTTCATTCCCGTGACGCGCTCTCTATAACTCGGATCCGCTAAATAGAAATGTGGCATGCTGATGAACGCTGGAGCATTCCATTTGCACCTGGAGATGTCTAATACTCCAGAAGGAATACAGTGATCAGGAGTGGCGCAGTAACATTTACGCCATGGTACTTTCTGGCCATTATCGAGCATCACATCGTCGCTGATGTACCTCAAGCCTGACAATCCTTTGTGAACGGTAATATTATCGTATGTCAGAGACATGTACCTGTCGAACGATTCGCAAGTTCACGCTTTTTCTACTACATTTCTGCTTTACGACGAGTAATGTCAGACTCACGTGCAAATGTCGGATACGAAAAAAGTGATGGTTTTATTATCAGGCAACGGTGGCCATAAATCGCCATTCGTTCCTTTCACCTTGCCACACTCGCCAGGATATGGAACTAGTTTCCTGTCCTGAGGAGTCCACTTCGTAAGTTCTCCTAGTTCGAGCAAACTGTTCTTGCCGGTGAGCATGGTGAACGTTCCGTCGTAATCTTTATTCCCATTTCGCTGTAAATTAGACAGTGTCATAGACGTGATTCTCCACATTGTTCCTTTACAAGAAATTGAATCGTATTTTACATCGTAAAACCAGCTGAATTTATCCCACGGTATTTCGGTGAAGTTTATCTTCCTGGCGATCCTCAGCATCTGATCGTCGAACCCTTCAAAGATCAGTTCATTCACTGTTTTAGTTATTACCAATTTTTGTCCCATACTTTCCATCATTCTATCCACTATATCGCGCAAGATAGCAGATTTCCCTTTTAATGCATATGCAACGCTCTAAAACGTTGATACGATAGAAAGATTGTAATCAGTATGAAATTGGTATTAATCGAAAGATACGCACAGCAGTGATAGGGTTTAAATTTGTTACGTAGTCGGATAAATTGCCTTTCGACAGACTTTCATCAAAAGTCCATGTTCTCTTTCTCTTGTACGTTATAGTGCCGTTACTGTTCCATACTTGATCTTCTTTAGTATCGACCTCTCTGTCGTGACAATGTAGTTTTACAATGATCAAGACAATGAACAGGTTGTTTCATGTAAATGTAATACCTGTACACGTAAGGACCCATTTCTACGAAGTTTGGTTTTGTCCCATCGGGCGAAGTGAAAGCTTGTGGATTAGTCAAGTTGAAGAAGTACAGCTTCAGAAACATAGGAATAGGTGTTTCCTTCCAAAGATCATGATTTGTGGACGTCGGTGTCAGAGTTAATTGCTGTGAAATGAACGTGTAAACAGTGTTTAATTTTTCGACAAGTATTTTTTAGACTTACTCCTGTTAAGATCGTTGAATAGATCATCGACCAGAGAATTCCTATGGTCAATCCAAAAATTGTCAACACCAGACCTATAGAGGAGATGATGGCTAATTTGTGCCAAAGCTTCATGGTTTTATTTGATTGTCGTGATCTGCAAAAGGAAGATAACTTTATCAATGCAGTGTTAACCGATTCGAATGTAAACAGACAATTGGTATTATGTTTCGCGATGTAAATGAGAGATAATTGACTGATATTGTTGGTATCTAACGTATATGAAAGATAAAAGTTGTCATTGGTTAGTGACTCTGACCAGATAAATTAGGAACTGAGAACATTGCCATAAGGAACATCTTGAACAATATTCCTTTGATATATAGGTTTACAGTTCACTAGAATAATTTGCTTAACCAATGAAACGAACATGGTCAATGTCAACATTTTTACGAGCAACAAATAAGTATTGTTGCGCGTGATTCATCTTCAGCCGCAGCCCCGCGAGCATTTGAAAGTCATGCCGTTCGTTCAGTTTTTATTTCCCGCTTCAAACGAATCTATTACGTGTCGATGAACGCATTTTCTTGTAAACGTGAAATTTTTCAATTACATAACGCGTTTCTCTGCCGAGAGGTGCAGTTATCGCGATCCTCAGCGAAAGTCGATGGAAAATATGTTTTTTAACAAGTATTCGCAGTACATCTTCGTTCTATGGTATGGTAAATGATATTAGATAAATCAATTATATCGAAGATAAACAGATATTTAGATAAATCTCCGATTTTATCTCCACGAATCTTGGATTATTTGTAACGTATTAGGCATGTGTACATACATGTAAGTTAATGACCAGTTGTTTATTACAAAGAAATACATAATATACATATATCAGATAAGTACATTGCACTCAATTGTGCTGATAACAAATCTTACAGATATCCTTTGACCAGATATTGATAAATATTTTTTCTTCAATTCGTATCAGATTTATAAATGTATTATAGATATTAAATCTTGGACTACCTCATCTAAACATTTTGTTTTATACAAAATATCGTAAATATAGAATTAGGAAAAATAGAACAAACGTGGTTTATTATCGCGTATGAGCAAAGTTCGAGGACGCTCAATATTGATTGTTCGAAATTGAAAGATAAAGTGGGCGTCTATGGTTTTAAACAATGTCCATTATACACGCAGCGTTATCGGTTAACTATGGTATATAAAAAAGCTTTGAATCATTACAAATGCTAATAGCTCTTAAATGAGTTTTATTAAAAATTGATCGAGTTTTTATTATTATTATTATAACGCGATCAAGCGAAAGAGAAGCGATGATTTCACCGCTTCGCTATACGTATCTGGAGATCATTAAACAAATGCGGAGGATTCATTCGAACTCGAATGTGTCACTTCTTAATAATTAT